TAAATAGATTTTTCGTTGATCGAACGATTTAGAGCAGAACACGTGTCACCAGTTAAATCTCTATGTGAATAAACAAAAATATCCTAAGGGCAACCAAACCAGAGGTCGGATGTCAATTGAACAACTGGCTAAGGGTCAATCGACCCAGAGGATAGGAGAACCAGATGTCAGAGATCGGTCAAACACCAATCCAGGGTCTTAGAGAATGATGGAACTAGAAATCAGAAATTTTTCGAGCGACCAACCAAGGGTCAACCGACCCAAAGAATAAATGAACTAGAGGTCGTATATCGATAGCATCTGGACAACAACAAACTAATCCAAAGGTTGTGAAACCAGAGCTTAACCGAATCAGAAACCACCGAGGTACAAGCCGACCAACAACAAGACAATCGGCTAGATATTCAACGATCACATGGCATGAAGCCAATCAATTGGGAAGCGATTGATTAAGGAGGGTCACGGGTGTAATTTTCATTTCACACTATTCCTAGCTTTCTATAAATAGAAGAGCATTAAATGTAAATAGTTTGCTAAAATATCTCTTCTCTCACTTCTCTGTCTACAATTATTTTACCTTATCACACTCTATTCTTTGAAAAGTTTTTGCATACACCTAATACAAATTTGCATCAAATGTCCAATTAAAATTATTCATGTGTTAGCATAGGTCCCACATTTTTAAAAAACAACCAATCATTGATGTCCTATTCTTTAGGTCACACCCTATTCTTTATGTGTCATTCACGAATAAATTCCGGTTCAACAATTATAAAAAACAATTTATGGAATTAATTAATTATAATTTAGTGGATTTATGCCTTAAATTTTATTTGCAGTCAATCTGCCCCAATAAATGCGTTCATGGAAAACTGAAGATACGATTGTTATGTATGCGCACCTTCTCAATTAGCAACTTTTTGGAGAGTATTATTATGTAAGCATAACGTTCGATGGAGAAAGATTTAGGGACTGAGAACTCAATGCTCAAGAGATCTCTTTCTATGAAACATAAATGCTTTTTTTTCTTAATATGACATGAGTAATTGTAAATTCTAAAATTAAGAGGTTTGTCATATAATTTATTGGGAGAAAAGAATTTGAGGTAATCTTGTATTCAATTTATTAGATATGATAGATCTTCTTTGAGATTTGTTTTGAGTTATTCAAGGAAAGAGAATAACTTGTAATCAATTTTGAGAGATTTAAGAGATCTTATCTTCTTTTGTGTTTAGGGTCATTAGAGTTTCCAAATTCATTCAAAATTTCATCTATAAATATCATCTTCAATGACATCCTTTTACAATAGCTTCAAAATTAATGATTTGCAACTAGGAGATCCTTTGAGATTTGCTTTGCTTGATTACTCTTTGATTCACATTGCTTCAACTATTTTTGTTCTCATTTTTCATCTTCACCCAAAAGGTAATCTTTACTCCCTCAATGAATTAGGTATTTTTATAGTGATTCAAATTGGACACCTGACGCAAATTTACGTCCAGCATCACGATACAGTAATCGCTTATTTTTGTGAGCTTTAGAAAATTTGTTATCATTCTTGGGTGCTAGATATTTTTTAACCTTACTTTGTGGTTCATATATTCACCTTCAAAGTTGATGTTCTTATAGTTTTAATTTTTTGTGCAAAATGAGCGCTTGAATATGACATTTTGGGATTTATCAATCTATTTCCAAGCAATGTGTTATATATTGGAGCACCTTATTACAGTAATAGTGGAGCATGCTTTTGTTAGACATGATTTGTTATAGTTGTATAGTCATAAGTGATTCCCACAGGCCGAATACATTCACAGACTTTGTGGGCATGAATGACCCTGCATTTTACAAAAAGATTTATAGCTTTTATCACCTCTACCTGTTTAGCTTTGCTTACTTAAGTTTCAAGCTCTCTTGTCGAAACAATCAATCTAGCTCACTTACCAAAGTGACATGTTGAGCCCTCTATAATTACTACTTGAGATTCCCAAACCCCTGACATAAAAGACAACACTCAAGACCATACATGTTTCTATGTCTATTTAAGAGTCTTCTGACATATATGTCACAATCTTTTCGCAAAGATGCTGTAGAAATGTCTTGTATCATACTGGAAACCCCTTTTTTTTTTTTTTTTTCCTCTCATGTAAAGGGAAAGGGTTGGAAGAGAAACCATGGGGAAGAGGGATATATAAGTTCAACCACCTTCCGGCTTAAATGAGTACCATGCATCAATCTCTCTCTCTGTCTCTCCTCTTTCTCATTTCTTCTCTCTTGTCTAATCACTAATAGGGGAAACATTTTCATATGGAATATGCACGCAGCTCTACATGCGTACTCCATTAACCCGCAATATCCTCATAATAACCTATGAATACATTCAAATAGGACCCGTGAAGATTATTGGAAGGTTATTGAGATTATATGTTATTGAAATTAATACCTTAATAACCTTTCAATAACTCTCTAATAACCATGAAGTAGAGATTATTCTAAGGTTATCACACACACAAAACTGTGTCCGTATGGAAATATTTTCTCAGTAATTGAAGAAGAAGAGCTGAGATTCAATAGGAGAACTTCCAACACATTCCTTCTTCTCTCAATACTTCTCTCAAAATACGTATGAGCCCACTGATAATATCAGACCCTACATCCTAAAAGGATTCAACAAAAACAAATTAATGAATATATAATTTCTCATCATATGAAATCTAACCACAGTATGGTTGTGACCTTGATAGTACTATAAATAATGCATTGAAATTTCTTTTCCATTGTATTTGTTTCCAAATATATTCCTTCCTTGACAGATTTATTATCAAATATGGTGTGAAATCTCCTATCATATATATTTGTTCCCAAATATATTTTTTACTTAATATATTTGATACCAAATATATTTTCTTACTTAATATATTTGTTTCTGAATTATAGTTTCGGCCAATTATATTATTTTGTAACTTTATAAATACTCATGGCTTGCTATTGCCTCATGGGTTAGTAATTAAAATAATATATTGTATGTTTTAGAGATTTTTTTTTTAAAAATAAATATATGATTTTATATTTTCGTGTTTGTTGTGCAATTAAAAAAAAGATAATCAATGTAAAATAAACTTTTTAAGATTGGTGGTAATGGGAGGCCAATAGTGAGTAGAAGTGAGCAGCAATGTCGGTGGACAACAGACGACAAGTAGCCAGCGCAATTGGCGTTCGGCGACCGACGACTCGGCTGATCATAGCATTTTTTTATGCAAAATAATATATTTAAAATTCTCTCAATTTTAGCAAATTAGAAATACATTTTTTTCTTAAGAACGACGAGAGGCTATCATACGAGTCTCCAGACCAACTTCATGTGCCAAAGAATTTCAACCTGCACATAGGTGGGATCGAATTGGGGACCTTATGGGGGTACGGTGAATTAGAAATACATTGAAAATGTAGTAGATAGTAAATTTTAAATAAAGGAAAATCAGATAAATAGTAAACAAAGCAACAAAGTTAACACGACAGCATCACTATATATAAATAAAATCATATTAGAATAATCTGGTCAAATTATTAAGTAAAATAAAATATAAGGATTTTAAATTTATCCTTAACTGACTGAATTTATATTACAATTAACTTCAAATAAATTTAATAGCTAATTTTAATATCAACCAAAATTTAAAGTGAAAGATTGTAAAATCAATCAAAGAATAAGGGGTTCTAAATATTAATTTTTAATTTTCAATCTCTTTAAAATGTTTAAATTAACTATAAATATGATTATTAAATCAAATATATATTTAATATTAAGTATTTTATTTTATGAGTGTTAAGTTTTTTATTTTGTTATATAATACTAAATTGTTAATATTTTTTTAGAGATTAGAGCATCTTTCCCTTAAGGGAAAAATATTATATCAAGACTCCTGATACATTCGAAGTCTAATGGTGGGGAGCCACGTGTCAAGTGGACTTCACCATTTTTAACACTGACCAATACCAGTGCATTATGGTGGGGCCCACTCGACACGTCATCTCAAGCCATTGGACTCTGAACGCAAACTATGTTTGGAGTCGTGACAGAATATTTTCTCCCTTTTTAGAGAAGCATCCAACAATTCCTCATCACAATCCGACTCGTTCAAAATAAATTCCGGTTCAACAATTATAAAAAACAATTTATGGAATTAATTAATTATAATTTAGTGGATTTATGCCTTAAATTTTATTTGCAGTCAATCTGCCCCAATAAATG